AGTAAATATCTGTCTGGGGACAGGGAGACACCTCTTATCAACAAGGGTGCCTGAACGGAGCATATTTGTATACCTAACCCTTAACTGTACCCACAATAGAAAAATAAATAAATAATTTTTTTAAAAAGACTATATCTGTTAAATCTCCATGCCTTCAACACTACTGGCATAAAGTAGCTACTAAAAAAATAATGGCTGAATGATGAACAAGCAAATGATTAAACAAATCATCAGATTAAAAGTTATGCCAGGGGAGCACGTTTTATATAAGAATTTTCTTTCTCTTGTGTTTTCTCCTCTCAAAAAACAAATGATAATAAGTAAGCTACCATTCCCCCAAAATAAGCATTGCTACAAAGGGTTAGCTAATGTATACTTACATATGACAGCTAAACAGAAGAATTCTATCTAAATCCTTGCTTTCTCTTTCATTTCTCCCTTTCCTCCATATATAAAATTTTCAAAATGAAAGTTTAAACAATCTTAAAAGAGACTAACCATGTGGCTGACTTTTCTCTTGATCTATTCAAACCATATATATACTTGGTAGTATATGTACAAGGGGTAAAAAGAACCTGTGATAACATTTTATTTGAACCAGAATGCCAAAGCATTAATTAAAGCTGTGCACACCTGCTCTGAACTGCAAAGTCAGAGATTTACATGAACTTATAAAGTTGAGTCTGTCTGACCTCTTGTAGGATTTATATTTCCTTTAAATAAGCATTTCCTCTTTGTAACGCAATATTTTTAAAGTATATTTTAGTGACTAACCTGCTGGCATAAATAGATATGCTGTTTAGCTCCTTTATTACCTTGTCTTCAACCTTTTTATCCACGACTTGTCAACTATTTAATTTAAGGTTTTGGGCGAAAATAAGCAGGCCCAACATTGAGGACTAGAATTTATTGCTCTGTATTTAACTTGCTAATTGGGTGATATAAAAAGATATTCCTATATTCAAACTGCATATTTAATCCAAGAACATTTAATACACAAATCTATTCACTCACTATTTGGAGGGTATCAGCTAACTTATAGCAATGCATTACAAGCAGGACTTGGGAAGTTACATTGCTTGCCCATACATGCAGTCTTTTCAGGTTAGATAAAGTTTTCAATCAAAGAAAGTGTTCTGATCTTGAGATTTCGATGCTTATACCTTTAGAAGAAGAGGGTTCTGTGAGGTTTACTACAAAAGGCAGTTACCTTGGATAGTTGCATTCCCAGCACTGTGAGTGTTACCAAGCCAGCACAACAGACCAAAGCACTGGAGCTGGAGAGGCCAGAACTTGGTGGGATAGTTCCATCTACCAGGCAGTTCATTCCAGGCAGGTTATTAAGACCAAAGTGCTCCTGAGAATATAAGGAAAAACATAGAGGAAATGCTTATTTAAAGTAATTTTAGTATTGGATTCAAGGAAAACTGAATTCTTCTGACATTCCCTAGAGAACAAAATTCTGTCAATAAACTTGTTATAATATTTATAGAGGCTGGGCTCAGTGGTTCATACCTGTAATGCCAGCACTTTGGGCGGCTGAGCTGAGAGATCACTTGAGCCCAGAAGTTCAAGACCAGTCTAGGCAATATAGAGACCTCATCTCCACAAAAATATAAAAAAATTAGCCAGGCATAGTGGCATATGACTATAGTTCCAGCTACTCAGGAGGCTGAGATGGAAGGACTGTCTGAGCCCAAGAGGTGGAGGCTGCAATGAGCAGTGATCGAAACATTGCACTCCAGCCTGGGTGACAGTGTGAGATCCCAACTCAATATATATATATAGCTGTGCAATTCAATTTAGTTGAGACTATACATGACATTTTATCCAATGGCTCTTAGTCATAGGGTAAGGTAATTTGAAGATTACTTTTACTTTGCTTAACAAAAAGCTACTTATTCATTTCCTAAAATTGCCTTGAATGTTCTTCTTCTAGGATAGTAATTGGTTTAAACAAATATGGAAAGCAATAAAAAACAATTATAATTCCACTTGTCAAGTCACAAGACAAGAAATACACAATTATCTATGAGGTAGTTTAAATCTCTGAGCAGCACATCTCAGCACTCTGTTATCATAAAAGTCTAACCCAAAGCATGGCTTGTTTCTATGAAATATCTTGCTCCATAGAGTGAGTCTCTGAAGGTCCTCTGAAGAAAAAAAAGAGTTCCAAACTTTCTTAGTTCTATTTTACTTATGGAAAAACCTAGGTGCCAAGAGATTAAAAGACTTTCCCAAAATCAAACATAGGGAGTTAAGAGTAGGGCCCAGGTCTCTGATTCCTGGTTGAGAACTTCACTGAGTTAGAAACCTGAGCCAGCAAACTGTCACTGTGTTTTAATATGTCAGCTGTATGAGGAAATCCATATTTTTGCTAGAGTTTATAGATACAGTTTAGCCATATGGTAGCTTTAAAGACAGCCAAATTAGAGTTCAGTCACAGATGAAAATGCAAACTCTAAACAAGGCAGAGAAACTCTATGTCTATTATACAAATAGAAAAGCCCAAAGATATAATCAGACGCTGATTTAAAGATAAAAAGCTCCAGTACACCTACATGAATATCTAGGACTAGAGCACTTTGGATGACATTATATCATAACCTTGTGGTCTGTGATTTAAAAAAATTTAAGTCATCCTCCTCTTCAAGAAAAAGTACCATCGTCTTTGCAAATTATTCAAACTCAAGACCAAAGTATGAAATACTATTATATTACCTAATTATACATTTCATCATGCATATTATTCTAGGGGGAAATCTCAATAAACTAGTTAGCATAACCAAAGTAACAAAAGACTATTTTTTGGTTTTTATTTTCCTAGCTTGAAAAACTCATGTACCACAAAAGAAGAGATTCAGTTGGATATACTTCTCTTCTTGATTTCAAGTCATCTAAAGATTTCCTTCCAGAAATACAAATTATAAACTGAAACACTGCTGTTGCCAATGTCTTTCCTTACAGAACATCAGACAGCTTGTTTAAAAAAAAAAATCTTGGAGAATACTATATATTTAACTATAAACTGATCCACAGAGTATCTTGAATGTGAATCATACTTACAAACTTATCACGCAATGTTTAAATTAAAATGTACAACAGATTCAAAATGCAGATGGATTGTGCCAAATTCTGTAATAGCTCTATCTCAAAAGGATAACAAGTTCAATTTAATATAAACAGATTAGCCTCTGAAACTTTCTAGTATTTTAATTTGAAAATTTCTGAACAGGCTAACATTTAAATTACTTTTCATTGTATAAACCTGCTTTTGCACATAAGTTATCAAACTAAAGAAGAAGACTTTAAAATCTGAAATGCTAAAGAACAACACAAAGCAACATGCATTATTTAGGCCACTTTACCCATATGCTTCAAAAAACCATGCTGTTACCAAAAAAAGGTCAAATTGCATTTGCTAGCCAAATGCTTTCAAATACTGTAGCTCCCAGTAATGCATATGATAAGACAGATGATATTAAGATTTTAAAGCTGCCAATAACTTTTCCCATAAGTTATTACCATATGTATGAAAGGAAAAACACAAAGGGAAGAAAGAAGTGAGTGTGGCAACTCTAAGAATAGAACCACCATTGTTAAGAGTACAAGAGTACACATCAGAAATAAATCTGATATATTTCTGTAATGACTATGCCACTAAGTCCTATGGTTACTTATGACAAAGATTCAGACAGGACCACCAGGCAATCAAGAACACAAGCTCTCCAAAATATGATTTAGTTAGTTTGCTTTAGTTCTGAAAGGCCAAATCCACCTCTTAATGTCCTACCTATGACTCTATATAAGAGTCACTACAGCTTAAATAATTACTACAAAATATAAGTGGCTCTAAAAACAGCAAACATCATTTTCTTTTTGTCCTTTAAACCTTTTCCATTATGAAAGTGGAAATAAAAGCCGGGCTCAGTGGCTCAGCCTGTAATCCCGCGCCTTTGGGAGGGTGAGGTGAGTGGATTGCCTGAGCCTGCGGGTTCGAGACTCACCTGGGCAGGCGAGATCTCGTCTCTACAATAAATCAAAAAATTAGCCGGGTGTGGTAGCGCACGCCTGTAATTCCAGCTACTAGGAAGGCTGAGATGGAAGGATCCCCAGAGCCCAGCAGGTTGAGGCTGCGGTGACCGGGAGCAGCCACGGCACTCCAGTCTGGGCGACAGAGTGAGATTCCAACTCAAAAAAAAAAAAAAAAGAAAGTGGAAATATTTTATTTTCTTTTTCTTGTACATAATATTAGAGATTTTTAAGGTAAATATTCACTGTTCCTAAAAAAAATTTATGCTAATACATTTTACAATATCTTTTTCTGAACCCCATCTGAAGCAGCAAAAACAATACTACTAATTACCATTTATTAAATGCCTACTATTGTCAAGCACTGTAATACTTGCAACAGCTTTTTGTCAGGATACTAATGACATCATCATCAGATAAAGCTGAGACTTATGAAGTTAACATTACTGGATAGAGCCCAGATTCAAACCTGGGCTGTCTGCATCTAAATCCTATTATAGTATACTCCTATGTATCCCAATAATAAAATGCAAATAATATTACTAAAACATATCCTCAAAGGTAAATTTGAACAAAGATTTAAAAACCAGGCAGATGTTTGTCAGATGTATCTAACTGATAAGCAATCAGAAATATGAAAAACCACTACCGCCCCCTGTAAACAACACCTAGAAACAGTAGTATTTCCCCACCCTCTGAAATATAAATTACCCAAATAGAACAGAAGCATCAATTAGTACTGCAAAAAGTAGACAAAAATTATATAGTAAATAAAATAAATCTGACATAAAACACACCATAATCTCAGCTGCTAAAAAGTAACTTACAAACCAATTTACCTGAATTCCTTTAAATCCACATAGGAAATAGTTGTGCCACAGAAGCTTGGTTTTGTCAATCTGAACATTATTAGCGCTAGTACTGAAGTCCCTGCAAAAACAAGACACCATTAATTTGAAATCTGTAGGGCTTGAGCTGCAAAATCAATGGCAGACTGCTGCCATCTTGTGCCAAGACAGTGATACTGACATCTCCTTTCCCATTTACTTTCAATATATGTACTTCACATGCATTTTGTCTACTGCAAAATAACGAACACCTCCAGCTGCTATAAGTTAAGAGAGGAAGTTTTAGTGGCCTTAATGACTAAACTACCTCCAACTGACCTTTTTTATTTCCTGAAGCAGAGAGGAAACAATATATTTCAGGATAATCTACAACCATTTTCTCTTTCATGTTGGTCCTTCTTAAGTAAGTGTAAACCACATGAATGTTAATCCTCTGGGCCTGCTGTTTGGCATACCCACAAATGAAACAGGACTATTCAAGTCACCTCTGTCACTCATCGAATTTTACTGTTTAAGAAGAAGAAGGAACAAAACAAATTATTCTAACGGATCATAACCCATCGAACAAAATTAGATTCCATGAATCTATACTGATAGACGTTCGCAAGTAAATAGCTAGATGAAGGAGAAGGAAAAACCCCTTTCTTGTAGTAAATGCACACTAACAGATGCAGAAGAAATGATGGAAATAGAAAAATAACTACATGGTAAATAAACTCCATGATAATTCTTACAGGAATGAATCATCAAGGGATGCAAACTAACCCTAGAGAGTAAAAATTTGATGAGAAACAAAATGATTACATAGACTCTCAGTATTTCCCATGAAATATTTATTAATTGCAAAGGAAAACAATAGCAACTTTATGGTGAAAATCTGGTAGGAATCACCTAACCAAATGACCAAAATTGATATCACCAGTAAAGGTACATCATGTGCCTCCCGTATGATGCACTGAGGACACATCCATAGTTATGTGGGAATTTCTTGTACTAATTTTGTGACTCATTTGTAAGCCAAAAAAATATTTCAAGTGAAAAATAGGTACACTGTTAGAAAGGCTCCTAAATCAACCAAAGGACAAAATGTGTGAAATGGGGGAAATCAATTAAAAAGGGAAGACATGGAGCAAAATTCCCCATATTGACTGCTTGCTGGCCATATCACTTACTCAATATCTACTATTGTAGGAGGTGCCTTTCATGCATGATCTTAACTCAGTAACATGACTACATTGTCTCTATAAAAAATATTTAGTGACTGACCACTGAAGTGTACAAGATATGCAGAGGAAAATAGAGGTAAAAAGCAGAAAGCTTGTCTTTTTTAAAAAATTAATTAATTATTTTTTTAATTTTAAAGATGTGAGGTGCAATTCAGGATTAGGTAGGTAACTGGTCACCATACAGGTAAAGTTTGGGCCTCCTGATGGTGCCCATTTTGCCTGGTTTGAGATCAGGTGCCCTTATTGATGTTGAGTGCCACCCTGACAGCGTCCCACTACTGTCAAACCCCTTCTTATACTATTATGATAAATGTTCAGGGTCCACTTATGAGTGAGACCATGTGCTACTCAGCTCTTTGTTTCTGTGATAGAGCACTAAGTATGATAGATGCTAAATCCATCCAAGTTGCTTCAAGGTTCATAATATCGTCCTTCTTTATGGCTGTGTAATATTCCATCATGTATATGTACCACATTTTTTTATCCAATCCACTTTTGAAGGGCAGCACAAAAATTGGTAACATGATTTTGCTGTTGTGAATAATGCTGCAATAAATGCACATGTGCAGGTATCTTTTTTATAGAAAGATTTGAGTTCCTCAAGGCATATTCCCAGAAGGGGAATTGCTGGGTCATATGGAAGGTCGATTTTTAGATCTTTTAGGCATCACCACACTGTTTTCCACAGAGGTTCATTAGTTTACACTCCCACCAATAATGTAGAAGCATTCCCATTTTCCCACATCCTCTCCAGCATCTGTCGTTTTTTTGAGTTATTGATGGCGGCCATCTTGATTGGAGTTAACTGGTATCTCGTATAGTTTTAATTTGTATTTCTTTGATGACTAGTGAGGTGAGCATTTTTTCATGTATCTGTTGGCTGCTTGTATGCCTTCTTTTGAGAAGTGTCTATTCATATCTTTTGCCCACTTTTTCTTTTGTAGCATTGCCTGTTTTTATTATTTATTTTTTAATTTTATTTTAAAGATGTGGGGTACAATTCAGGGTTAAGTGTACAAAAGTTCATTATGCAGGTACCCTCGTTGACGAGATGTGCCCCTCCTCCCCTGACAGAATCTCACTACTTGGCCCACTTTTTAGTAGGGCTGTTTGGTTTTTTTCCTTTTGGCACATTTGAGTTCCTTGTAGATCTTGGATGTTAGGCCTTGGTCAGATATACAGTTGGCAAATACTTTTTCCCATTATGTGGGCTGTCTCCCCGCTCTCTTGATGGTTTCTTTTCTTTTTAATGATGTCCTACTTGTCTATCTTATCTCTTATGGCATGGGTATTTAAGGATTTCATCAGGAATTGGTTGTCTATTCCAATTTCTGTAAGGTTGTCTCCTGTGTTTTCTGATTCTTATAGGTTGAGGTACTATTTCAGTCCTCACCATGTGGTCAGCCAGTTTTCCCAGCATCATTTACTGAAAATGTTTTTCCTCTCCCCAGTGGTTTTTGGTGGAGGCTTTGTCAAAGATGAGTCAGTTGAGAAACTGAGGTTTTGCTTCTGGAATCTATTCTGTTCCATTGGTCTACATGCCTGTTCTTGTACCAATACCAGGTTGTTTTGATTACTGTAGCCTTACAGTAAAACTTAAAGTCTAGAAGTGTGATATATCCTGCTTTGTTTCTTTTGCTAAGGATTGTTTTGGATATTCTTGGTCTTTTATCTTTCTATATGAATTTCTGCATTGTTGTTTCCAGGTCTGAGAAGAATGATGTTGATAATTTAATGTGTATCATGTTGAATCTGTAGATTGTCTTTGGTAGGATGGACATGACTCAATAATATGCTGCCCAACCTGGATGGAACTAGAGTCTATAATACTGAGTGACCGCTCACAGAAACAAAGATCCGAATATCACA